GATAGATAGATATAGATATATAGATATAGATATAGATGATATAGATATAGATACATAGATATATAGATATGAATGGACAATTACGGTAAGAGAAGTGGAATGAGAAAAAAATCAACATTTTTACTGTTCCAAATTATAGAATTTCAATTATGGTCAAAAGTTATAAACTCTTCAGCAAAACAAAGCATTTTTATTTAATCCAGTGACATCAGAATAATTAAAATTGACTTTTTGTTTTCTTTGTCATTCTCTTTATTTAATTTTATCTAAAATAAAGAAGGAGCAAGTTTGGAGATAAGGAACTTCTGAACTGGTTGGCCACATTGAAAGCAAAAGCATTCATGCTGTTTCCAAAAAGTTCTCATTCTTCCTCTCTTTGGAGACATGCCAGAGGGTTTTGTTTTGTTTCCATGGAAGAAATTGCTTTCTTTGACTAATGAAATGTGAGCTCAAAGAAGGAAGTACAATTCACCATTTCCCCTCCCACTGCTGCAGTGATTGGAAAAAAACATGTTGAGGTGAAACATCTATTAGCCCAAGTCCCTGAGGGGCACCAACAAAGCCTACTTGCTGAGATGTGTTAGTACAGATCTGTAGAGTAAGAAATAAAACTTTCTTATTTAAGCTATTAATTTGGGGGGTTTGTTTCTACAACACAATCCACAATTTCTGGACTGATATATTCAGACAAAATAACTTTGTAAATGCCTAATCATTAGAGTCTTCTAGACAGCAAACTATAAGAATTTGTACTGTGCTCATCACAGTTATTGTGAAATACTAGTTTTTGTGCCTTCATGGTAATGCAAAGCAAGGCTATCCATAATACATTGGACTAATTACATTGTTTAAAATTAAATATAAGAGAAGAAAAGCTTCTTAAATACAGGTCAGAATTTGTCACTACATGTTCTGCAGAAATTTTTAATTTGGGGAGTTTCTATCACATGGAATAAATCAATTATAATGTGTATCATTCTGATGTTTTAAATTTCACTGTTAAGTCGTGTTAATAAAATATTAATATGATGAATATTAATATTCATATGATAGACCATCACATCACTTTCCTTATCTAATTTTTTAAATGTCAGAATAATGTGATGTTTATTAAACATTTCAAGAGTTTGAGCCTAAAGGGTTAAAGAGGGAACTGGTGACAAATCCCTTAAAGCAGTCCCTAGCAGAATAAGTAAGCTGCACAGTGTACTTATTAACTGCAATTGCCACTCGGAAATATATGAGAACATTTGGACAGCATGCATGGGTAGCTTCATTTTTGGAGATATTAGAATGTCGTTCCAGTGTATGGCAATATTTTTTAGCAACTCCTAAGTAGATTGTTTTTCTTTTGTGGTATGCTTGATTCCTTATAGCTTTGAGAGAATTGACAAAAAAATGATCCATAATTTTTTTGTTTGTAATATGTTAGCATTTCCTGTCAGGATTTAAAACCACAGTTTAATACTGAAGGTTTTACAGATTATCATCTTGAAGCAGATTTCACATAAATCAAAGTCCAAATTTCAGATATTATTAAAATCTTTTGGGTTAAGTAAAATGATATTGCTTACTTTTAGGTAGATTACTATCTTACACTTCAATAATGTTTTTTATAGGCTGAATTATGTCCTGATAGATTCTAATGGCCCAATAAATTCATGACCAAATAAAATAATGGCCTAATTATTCCTAATTTACAATAAAATCTCTTCATTGCAACTCTCTGAGATGTTAACTTTAGATCATTCACGCTTCTCAAGCCAACCAAAAACTTCTAAATACAATTTCCTACGAAATTGCTTAGAATTAGATGGACTGAACTGCACTGCAAACTTTAATGTGTCCTTAAATGTGCATGTGTGTGTATTTGGGAGGGGCCACATGTTCTTGCTTACTCACTGACTTTTCACTTAAGATAATTAGGTTAGGGGAGTAACCCAACCAAGCCCAACCAACATATAGGTGGATCAGCAGCTAAAGGCATGGTGGCCTGATTTAATCAGCAACAAGCTGAACACTGACTGCAGACTGATCAGAACACAGGGTTTGTGCTGTTTCCTGGAACTAAAAGATAAAGGCACAGTAACATTAATGTGAACAACTGGGAAAAGCCTTGTAGGGGGAAGGGGAAGAGAGTTTAGTGGTGATAGAGGGAGAGGAAGGTAGGGGAAAGCTGGGAGGGGAAGGAGAGAGAAAGAAAAAGATTAACTTCAAAATTATGTAGAAAAACAATAAGAGATTACAGCCGCTGAGAGACAGAGAGAGAAGTCTTCCTTGCTGTCTAAATTCTAGAATTAAGTTTAATTAAAAAGTTCTCTTAAGAAAAATAAAATTCCCAATTACTAATTATATTGTTTGAAATAAATCTACACATGCTCACCAGAAATTTTCAACTAAAACAAGATAAACACCCATTAAGTTCCTTTGCTAGAAACATAAATATAAGAATGTCCATGCCATTGATTGATATTCTTGAAAAATCCACAAGGGGAAACAAAATACATAAATAACAAGTAATTGGAAAAAATAAGGTAACATCAGATAAAAAATTTAACCCTAAATTGGGTGACAAAGAAGCTGTTACAAGTAGGATATGAAAGATTTTCTACCTAGAGAGCTGAGATAAAATGTTTAGGCAGAAGATAAGTAAGAGCAAATGTCAGGTGGGAAGAGTCATGGCCAACGTGGAAAAGAAAAGGGACTACAGGATGAGGAAACACAGACAAGAGACCATTGTGTATCGGAGTAATTTTAGTTGTAAGTCATAAAAAAACTAAATTAAAAGGGTCTTAGCCAGCAAGGTCATTTATTATCTCCTATAATATGTTGTTCAGTGATGAGGTGGTAGTATCAGCATTTGTTTAGCAATACAGAGATAATAGATCTAGGCTATTTATATTACTTTTGCGCTGTCATCCTTAGCATATTATTTACTCCTACATTAACTCTATCAATAGTCCCAAATGGCTGCTGAACTTCCAAATTTTCTATCTGTATACCAGCATTGATGGGCAGAAAAGGGAGCTTTCTCCTCTTCTTTCTCTCTTTTTACTATTAACAAAAATTTGCCAAGTAACCTAGAATTATACCTCATGTACATTTCCAAAACAAACCACTGGTAAGTAGAGTGGCATTACAATGGGTGGGTCAGATTAATCAAGATTCATTCCAGTTAGGCACATAGCCTCCTCCAAAACTGAAAAACTCAAAGCCACCAGTTATCTGAACTCATTTAGAGTTCTGAGTCCAGGGATGAGGTCTCTTTTTTGTAAGCAATTCACAGTATTTCATTATCTTCCACATGAATACTAAATTTATATATATGTGTGTGTATGTGTGTGTGTGTGTGTGTGTGTGTTGATATATACAGATATATAGTATGTGTGTATATACACACTCTATGTACATATACACATATATGCGCATATACATGAACATATATAAGCAATTATAGTAACACATTGAGTTGTATTTCACAGTGTAAATGGAAATTATTAACTAAACGTTCCCCATAATTAACTTATTTATACTAAATTGGTTTTTACACTCCCCTTGAATAAATGGGAGTCACATTCATATAGATATAAGCAGCAATGTTTAAGTAGGCAAATATTTAGAGAAAACATCAAATGCCTTTTTTTAACTGTAAATATCCTTCACGATACATTTTCTGTATTTATATTTAAAAGTATTACTTTTAAGCAGCTATATCCAAGAAAGATCTGCAAAATTGTTTACATGACCACAAAATAAATTATTCTAAAGTATATATTATCAAATGTGTACTTCATGTGTGACTGTATACCAGAAAGAGAGGAGGTCAGGAAGAGAGGGAGAAAAGGAGGAAAAGGGAGAGATCACATCTATAGACATTGAAGGTTAATTTGCCCACAATTCCTTGAATAAGCTTGAAGTGGGAGATTTGAGTTGACTGTTCTCTCATTAAGTCTTGTTTCCTAAGTGACTCTCCTTGTGTCAGTTGAGAGTGTACACATGCACACACACACACGCTTCTTTCCTTCTTCCCTTGCCTTCTCCTTCTACTTTTCTCCTCCTTCTTCTCCTCTCCTTCTCCCTCTCTCTCCCCCTTCTTGCTCTCCTGCTTCTCCTCTTCTTCCTCCTCCTGCTGAAACAATCTGATGTAGATCAAAGCTAAGTATTTCATCTTGTGCCCACAACCACATGCACAGTCACAACTACACAACTCAAGTAAACAGGAATGTTCTAATGCTGGAAGTAAAACTGATTTGTTGTGGTTATTGAGAGACAATTTTATCAATCTTCTAAATGAAACTAAAACACAAGAGTTATGTAAGTTCTTTTTAAGGCTAAGATACTGACTGATCTTATAAATTATGTTCTCTAGGAGGTGTAAATACACTGTCTTACACTGAGGAAAGGCATGTTGGAGATTGCCCTTATGATATGCATGTTACCAGGAAGAAACTCAATCCCTGACAGGGTAGGAGCCAACTAATGAGCAGCAGTTCTCAGATCCGAATTAAAAATAACCTGTAACACAGATTCTTTTTTACATAATCAGGGCTTCGAGTTAATAGTTGTATTTAATACTTAAAAATGCTGAGAATACAGAATGGGCACCAGTGTTGAAAGGGGGTATTATGTAGAAATCACACATTGGAATGTTTGAACACTTTGGTGATAAAAACACATACTGAAAAGATAATATAACAGGGAAGATTTTTATATCACTAGACTTAGGTTTACAAGTAACCTAGTAACATAAAAGAAAAACTATCACAAGGAACAAATTTCCTGGTTATCATTATCAAAGGACTCTGATAAAACCCATTGATCAAAATGAAAAGTTTTGAGAAGTAAGAATATTAAATCAGAAGTGTACACTCACTCACATTCTATATTCAGGTGATAAGCATGACCTCTGTAACTTTCAAGCAGACTAAACTACAATATTGAATCCCCTAATTCATCTTATATTCAAATGATTTCATATCTGTTTCTTTACTTATTTGCAGGCATCCAATGAAACCTTTGAAATTCCGCTCATGTTGACTGGAAATGTAGTGTTAAGGAAAAGGCTCAACTATGAAGATAAGACACGCTACTTCGTCATCATTCAAGCTAATGTGAGTATTCGATTCCTCTTATTTTTCTCCAGGGAACATATGAAGTAAGAGCTTGTTTAAAATATTGAAGAGCTCTTAGAGTACTCAGTATAATTTGCAGCCTCAACAGGAAAGCACTGCCCTCGGTGTAGTTCACTGTATTCTTCTGCATGGGAAGTGGGATGTAATGGGGTGTGAAGGTTGCTTCTACTCACTGTAAACTTCACTCTCTGAATCACTGGTACCCACTCTTCAATAATTGGTTTTTAGCTCATACTGAAATATTTCTCAGAACATGATCCACCAAACAAACGAAGCAGAATCACCTTGGCACTGAGCCTCACATCCTCTAAATACAAATTTCAGAGGGAAGAAGTGAAAGACCTGCATTTTTTTATTAGCTCCTCAGGGGATTCCAAAGATACTGGATGTAGAGAACTGCCAGATTGGAAAATCTTTTCCCTCATAGCTATGATTTATTGAATAGTTGTTCACTAAATATTAGCTACTATGACCATAACCATGACATGTGAACAGTTAGTTCCTTATATAACTTTGACATTTATTATTATTAATAATAATATTATTATTTTAATAAAATCCTTAGATTGATGTGGTTCAATGGTTGGTTTGAAAGCTCATGTGTATCACCAAGTTTGAGTTCCTTCTACCCTTAAATTCTCTCCTTCCCTTGAAAACTGGTCATTTTTCCAATGCCATGTCTGCTGGGTGTTAATGAGTATTATAGCCATAAGCAAAACAACTATATTTCAAGCCTGAAAGAAAGCAAAAGGAAAGAGTGGTAAACCTAGGACTCTTAATGTTTGTTGATTTTGTTTCCTTTTACCTGAGAGGATGCTTTCCCAGCATCCTTTCCCATTACAGAATGGATCACATGAGTCAGCACAGAAGAAAGGAAAGTTGAGGAAGTCTGTATGTGGTAAAGGGAAATGAGACAATCATCTCTGGATGACAACAAGTATGGCACACCAATGACCTGGAAAAAAGAAAAACAAAAAAACAAACAAACAAACAAACAAATAATGTTGCTACTGAGAAGAATGGGACTGTCATTTTAGGGGAAAAACTAACAGAAGTGGCCGCAGATAGCTTTAAACACTGGAAAGGTCCCATACCAACAGGCAGGGACATCCATATTCTGAAGAGGTAGTCAGACTCCAAAGCCATTGTGTGTGTTTAACTACTTCTATGCATTGTAATCGTACTCATATAGCAGAACAGAAAGAGGCAGCAGGGAGTGGCAAAAGGAAAGCATCCTCCGTCAGCCATTCTGAACGGGTTTACAGGCTTCCCCCCTTATTTGTATTTTCCCTTTCTGTGGTTTTAGTTACCCTCCATCGCCTACAGTCTGAAAATATTAAAAGAGAAATTACAGAAATAAATTTATAAATTTTAATTTGTGTGCCTTTCTCAGCAGTGTGATGTCATGTTGCCCTGCTCTGTCCTGTCAAGGAAGTGAATCACTCCTTTGTTCAGAGTATCCATGCTGTATATTCTACCTGCCCATTAGTCACTTGTTAACCATCTAATTGTCACAGCAATGCAGTGCTTATGACCAAGTAATTCCTATTTTATTTAGTAATGACCCCAAAGTCATTTACATAACTTTTATTACAGTACATTGTTATAATTATTCTATTTTATTCTTAGTTATTTTTGTTACTCTCATACTGTGCCTAATTCATCAATTAAACTTTATCAAAGGACCCATGGACAAAGACAATGGGGGTGGGGGGATTAAATGTGGGAGGGGGGGATAGGGACAACTGTAACTGAACAACAATAACAAATATTAAACATCAGCATTGTTATGTATATAGAGGAAAAAACAGTATATACATGGTTTGGTAGCTAGCACCTGTGGTTTCAGGCATCCACTGGGGGATATGGAATATATCCTACAGATAAGAGGTCAAAACCCAAAATCCAGCCAAGTAAATTTGAAGATCTAATTGGCTTTATTACACAATTTGGGAAGCTGACAACATCCCATCAACCAAGTAGAAGGTTGCTTCAAGGGATTGAAAAAATGGAAGATTTTTATATAAAGAAGGGTGAAGTGAGGAGGTATTAGCAAAATAAAGGAAATATATTTAGACCAGGAGGACATCATCTTTGGGGGCGGGTGCAGAAAGCCTAGGGTTTTATTACGCAGAGTGCCTCTTCCTCCCTTGGAAAATGAAGACGGCCTGTGTGACAGATCACTCTACTGGTGCTTGGCCAGAAACTTCCAGACTGGTTGATTAAGATTATATTTCTGGTGAATATCAAAACTGAAGTTAGGTCAGGTAGTAAGTAAACCTAAGTTTGGTATAATGGGCTTTAGCACAAGTGACACTATTTTAGGTCTGTGGGTTTCTTTCTTAACAAGGGTAACTTGTATGTGTGACAAGGTGCTATTAAATGGCTATTTTCCCTTTCTTAGAGATATTTCATCAGAAAGGGGATATATATATATATATATTTACATATATACACACACACATACATATACATATATAGTCTGTGTGTATGTGCTTGTATGTTTGGGTAGGTAGAGATAGAAATATAAATTTTAAAGCCAAATTTCTAGGCTTGCATTAAATATTTGTAAGATTTCTTTTGTTTTCAAGTCAATGTGAGCTGTCTTGGTTTCCAGTGGAAAAGGCTAGAGAGAAAACTATGAATATAGGAAAAGTATATTTCCCTATATCTATATGAAACAGGCCTCTCAGAACTTTCTCCAAACACTCAAATGTTTAAAAAAAAATTCTATGTAAGGGAATATGTGAACAAATGATACAATTTCCCTTTTCTGACTCAGGATCTCCAATGAAATTCACCAAAAATACCACAAAAATGTCAGATTTTTATGGTATGTATTTGAAAGCTAATTTTTATTTCATTATTTAAAATGAGCTAACTTTTTAAAGAAATGTCATCTAACAGAAATCTGAATTGCCATCTAAATTTTAAATGTTTATAAAGACATTTGAAACAATGTTTATTCAGTTTGCTGACTACTCATAACTAGGGAGAAAGTGATAAGTTTTTAGCATGTCAGGGATAAAATTATGAGATAGAGGTATATACATGAATCATTGAAAGGAAGGAATGACATGGGTGAGAATTTGAAAGATTTATATTTATCTATAAAATAATTTTTATATAAATTTAAAACATACAGTACAGCATGTGAATGGTAATAAAAGAGATTCATTTCTGGTGTTTTTGTTTCCAAAGGATATTTTTTTTAAAGATTTTTTATTTATTTTATTTTTAGAGAGGGAAGGGAGGGAGAAAGAGAGAGAGAAACATCAATGTGTGGTTGCTGGGGGCCATGGCCTGCAACCCAGGCATGTGCCCTGACTGGGAATCGAACCTGCGATGCTTTGGTTCACATCCCGCGCTCAATCCACTGAGCTATGCCAGCCAGGGCATGTTTCCAGAAGATATTTTTAACAGTTTACTGTGTTACAGTTGTCCCCACTCTTTGTCTGTTTTCCCAACTCTCCCTGGCCCCTGATCCACCCTCCCCTAACCATCAGGTCATCACCATGCTGTTGTTTCTGTCCATGTGTCATACATATATATTCTTGGGCTAATCCCTTCACCTGTTTTCTTCTAGTTCCCCTCTTCCCACTCCCCTCCAACAGCTGTCAATCTGTTCTATATATTTATGCCTCTGTTTCTCTTTTGTTTGTTAGTTTATTTTGTTCATTAGAGTTCACATATAAGTGAGGTCATGTGGTATTTGTTTTTTTCACTATGAAAGTATCATAAAAATCCAGAAATGTGAATTTAAAAGAATATTTGCACCCTTATCTTCATAGCAGCATTATTTATAATAGCCAAGATCTGGAAACAGCCTAAGTTTGTGGGAAGCTGGGGTAGAGAGAATACATGGCAAGGTGGCAGCTGGTGGACCAGGTGGGCAAGGTGGTGGCAGAAGACCAGAAAGTCCCACATTTGCATGCAGATAAGCTGGGAGGAATAAATAGCGAGTGAGATAGACTGTGTAACCCAGGGTTCCAGAGCGGGAAACAAAAGCCTCAAAACCTCTGGCTATAAAAATCTATGGGGGTTGCAGCTGTGAGAGAAACTCCCAGTTTCACAGGAGAGTCTGGTGGAGGAACACACAGATCCTAGACTGTATTCAAGCCAACCCACCTGGGAATTAGCAACAGGGTAACACCTGACAGGATACAATCTGCTTGTGGGGAGTGGGGGAACTGAGTGAGAGTGGGACAAGAGCTGAGCAAGCTGCATTGTTCCCTCTCTGACAGCTTCTCCCAAATACAGCACCACAACAAAGTGAAGTGGGTTGCCCTGCTCTGGAGAATACCTAAGGGTCTGCCCTTTACAATGGAACAGGTGCTCCAGGACAAAGAGATGTGGCTTAAATGAAAGAACAGATTATAAGTCCAGAAAAGAACTAAATGATGAGGAGATAGCCAACTGTGGCAGATCCTGGACTGCAGGATTCATGTATGTTATGGCTGCTCATGAACAAATACACACAAACAACAGAAGTCCTGTGGAGAAAAAGGGATGGCGTGGCCACTCTCTGAGAGAGAGAGGGCAAGAGGGCCAGTGAGCCAGTCCCCACCTGGACCAGCTTTTATTGCTTCTCTGGGTACATTACAGAGAGGGTTGTCCTCATTTACTATGCACAGGTTCACTGCAGGGGATTACCTTTTACAGATAACAAAGGAAAGAATGTTGCTAATTACTTCAAAGAGAAGAATGTTGCAGACCCAGAGAGAAAGTGTTTGAACCAGTCACACTCCATACCTGGGAGGTTTAGCTCAGATTTTAGGAAGCTGCAGTAAGCCCTTGCTGTATCAATTCAGAGTGAGGGAGTTTTAGCAAAAGCAAGTCTCATAGCAGTCTAGGTACAATGCAAGCCTGATTTCCCAAGGGAAAACCTCTCCGTGGGCCTGGTCCTGTGTGCCACACACACCCCGCTGGTTTTCCATGTGAGGGTTGAGCTACATTTCCCAGCCATTAGAAGCAGTTCC